GCTATCTGTGCCTGAGGTTAAACTGCAGCAACACACCTAAAGCCAATAATAACACAACAAAAAAGCCACAGTAAGAATAATCACTAAATCCCATCCATGGCACCACCCCCCCCACTCTTCATAGAAGTAAACTTATTCCCTGTTCAGAACATCCACACTTACTACTGTGCAATCTATATCTCCCGGACCTTAAATTCCAATATTAACGTTGACCTAAAAAGCTTTCTTGATAGTTGTGGCAGGATCCACAGGCATAACACAAGACACAAACATCTCCATGACATTCCCCGTGTTCGACGAAACCTTTACAAAAATTCAATGTATTTCAAAGGACCTAAAATCTGGAACATCCTACCTGAAAACTCTAGAACTGCAGACACATTCATCACTTTCAAAACTACAGTTAGAAAACATCTTATCTCCCTGACACACCCCGACAACTAACAACTGAAACCACCTGGTGTTCACAATTACACTCATCACCCACTGACTATAAACCCAGAAATACTAATCTTAATCTTAAAATAATAAATCCTAACTAGTCATAAATTTGCCTATGATACTCCAATATAGGCACTTTGTATTGTGCCAAAACAAAAAGCATTCACATTGCTAAACTCACAAATTATGATGTAGTCACTTAGCCTTAATACCATAATCTGTAAGGATTTAATGTTAAGAATTAATCTAAGTCTGCCCGAAATGTCTAGCCATGCTAGGTGTCCTAGTGGCCCCCTCTGTAATTAGTATTTTATAACATGTAAACCACACAATACCCAAAACCTGTAAACCCCACATTGTAACCCTTATAGAGAATAAACTTGAATTGAATTGAGATTATAAAGTCACTTAAAAATAACTCAAGGAATCTGTCTCATGTCCCACCATTATTGTACAAGCGAGCAGCCCATGTCCTTTCCCATGCTATTTCATTACTTTTTAACAAGTCACTAGAAACTAGCACCTTCCCAAAACCACTCAAGACAGCAAGGGTTACACCAAAACATAAAGGTGGTGACCCTACAGATGTAAACAACTATAGGCCAATATCAAACTTACCATTGCTATCCAAAATCTTCGAGAAACTCGTGCACAGGAGACTCTATTCATTTATAACGGCACAAAATATACTCAACCCCTGCCAATTTGGATTCAGGAAAAATAAAAGCACTAATGATGCAATTGTAAAAATGCTAGATCTGCTTTACACAGCATTGGAAAATAAGGAATATCCACTAGGAATTTTTATTGACCTAAGAAAAGCTTTTGACACAGTAGACCACGGCATCCTACTCAACAAACTTGACCATTATGGTATAAGAGGCCATGTACTCGCATATTTCAAATCCTACCTTACTAATAGGTATCAGTATGTCACCATTAACCCTTTGACTGTTTTCGACGTATAAATACGTCTTACGAGCCAATGTTTCTGACGTATATATACTCAATAATTCTAGCGGCTTCAAATCAAGCGGGAGAAAGCTGGTAGGCCCACATGTGAGAGAATGGGTCTGTGTGGTCAGTGTGCACCACATAAAAAAAATCCTGCAGCACACATTGCGTAATGAGAAAAAAAAATGATCGTTTTTTTTGGAATAAAACGCCGACTTTGAGGTGTATTTTCGTATAGTATTTATCGTTGAATTCACGTTTTCATGGTCTTAGGGGATAAAATAGAAAACATATTACAGAAATAGAGATGATTTTCATTACTTTGACGATGAAATCGACCTTGAAACCGAGCTCAAAGTAGCGGAAATGTTCGATTTTTACCGATGTTCAGGAGAAAAAAAATAACACCACACGTCCAATACACGTCAACTGGGGAGTCTAATATTCTTTCACTAGTGCACTGATATTATTTATACCATTTTTACAATAATGCAGTAGTCTGCATAACAGTAAATTTTATATTTTTTTGTATAAATAAAAAATCAAAATAGAAAGCAATAATAATATAAGAGGGGCCTAGAGATGTGACTAATGAACAGAGCATATGTTATTTTAGTGCCACGAATGTCTACCTTGTTTATTCTGGACCCTATTTTGAAATTGGCATCTTTTTTAGTTTGCGTGAAATTGGCCAAATTGCCAATTTCTGACCACCATATTGGGTAGTCCAAATTAGTAAATGGGAGGCTTCTTGTATTCAGCTGATAGATAAAATGGAGTTCAAAAGAAATAGCTGAGTTTGGTCAACTGGAACAATGGAATTGGCTGAAAATAGGGCTCAAAGTCAGCGAAATCGCCGATACGCATATTTCGCTGAGACCGCTAACTTCACGGGAGCATAATTCCAAGAGTTTTCGACCAAATTTCGAACTTTTGGTGTCATTACCATCGGGAAAAGATTCTCTATCATTTCATAAGAAAAAATAATTTTTTTTTTTTTCAAAAATTGAGCAACATAGAATGACAGTTTCAGAGAGGGGCCTGAAACAGTCAAAGGGTTAAATCATCATTAAATTTTTGTGCCAATGGGCTCGTAATTCTTATACCATTGATCCAAGTGGTTAATAAAGTTGTCTCTGTGTTCTGGTTTGAGAATAAGTTTCCTCCTTCTGTATTTAGCTCCTTGATTGCTGGAGATGTGATCAAGATTGACAGTTGTTAGTCTTGGGAAGTGATCACATAGAAGATCATCAACTATGACAGAGTCATGCATCGTATATGATGTATTAAATCCAAGACACAGATCTAGTATGCCACCATATATGTGAGTAGGCTCAGTAGTACCCAC